CTCTCGAGTAAGACAGGTCTCAGTAATGCACAGAACATCCAGTTGGTGTATATAAAGAATTGATTCAACCTCAGTCTTCCTGTGGACAATGCTACGGGCATTCCATAGAAGCCATAGAACTTATAAATCCATTTCCTCCAAGGAAGTGTTCTTGGAAGATTCAGCAGATTTCGGAAACAGTGCCGAAAGGAATTTCTCCATGAGCACTGATCTCCACGTCAACTTCTCTAACCATTATCTTACACCTAAAAAGAGAAGATGGAATGTAGGCTTTATAGCCCTTTTCACGAAGAGTTAGTGAATCTACCAATATATTAGCATCACGCGAATTGTCACAGAAGACCTTTAATTGGTTCTGACCACTAGGCGTGATTTGCTTTTTGCCGAAAATAACTTTCCCTATAAGAATGCCTATGGCAATCTTTCTGAGTTTCCCTTCATTTTTCCCTGGTAGAGACGATTTTATGAGAACAATAAAAGGGGGGAAATTTCTCAGATGCCTCGGGATACTCTCTTCTCCAGAGATAATATTTATTAGTATCATTCCTTAGACCATCAGAGCAAGAGAGATCAACCGTTTCGTCTAAAACTTCCTTATGTTGATCTGTAAAAACGAGACTCTTCTGAGTATTTTCAGACGAAATTATATTTTCCGATAAAATTGTCAATTGGGGAGGAACAAATAATGCGCGGTAATGAACTTGCGTAAGGTTAGGTGTTCTGTGTAACTAACGCCATTTGTTATTAACACTCATAAATTCCTAGATATATAAGTAATATTTCGAATGGTGCATCTTACCCCGTGGTGCAACCAGCTCCACTCTCCCCAAGGAGACTAGAGACAGGAGGAGTAACTCAGGTGGTGGGGATGTCGTCGAAAGTGGGGGCAATGAATAAAGATTCTCTCTGCATAGGTAGTTCGTGCGGTAACCAAAAATGGTTTACTGCGCATGTTTATATAGAGCCATAATATAGCAGAAGAGAATGTGTCAAATCGCACAAGGCAATGTTAAGATAGAGAGGTTATAAGTAATAATATTATTATTAATTATTATTATTAATCAGAAAAATATTATTATTACAGTTCTTGGCGAATTTTCGAACTGCAGTTCAAGGTATTTTATATAAATTGCAGGTCTCGGATTATACGACTTTTTACAATTTTTTTATAAAATACGATTTTTTTCGACTTATTTTAATAAAATGCGATTTTTTAAATGATTTTTTTCCAAATTTTTAAAGAAATTACGGTTTTACAATGCAAATCTTCGTTAGATCTTCTTTATTTCAATTATTTAACAAATTTTTAACTAAAATTTTAATTTTAAAAGAATAAGCAAATAAAATTATAAAGAAATTTTATTTCTAAATGACTTGAAATTTAATTAATTTCAAAAATTTCAACTTAAATTCTTCCAAAATTGTTATTTAATAAAAAATTTTATTTCAAAATCTGTAAAACTTAATTATTTCCTGAAATTTTTTTTACTGTCAACACTAAAACTGTGAAAAAATTTTAAATTCTAATATATTGCTTAAATCATACTTCCAAAAATTATAAAAATGGAACTTTAAGAATTTATTTTAGAAATTTGTTCTACTTAAATAAAATTTGTCTTACAATTAGTTAGATGATTCTTAAATAATCGAAATAAATTTTGATAATATTTTTATAGAATTATTCTCATTATAGAATTAATAAAATGAATTTAATATCTAATAACATCAGTTATTTAAGAGAGAAAAGATGTTTTCAAATTAAATTACTTATTTAAAGTAAAATATTCATTAACCAATTAAATTTTGTTAAAATAAAAAAAAATTTTTTTGATTTTTTAAAAATATAAATCAACTAAAACGTTTTTTTTGTACATTAAAAGATATTATTTGTACTTGTCATTATAATAATACTAAAAGTTTTTTTTGTATTTTAGAGGCTGATAATAAATTTAATAAAATGCAATCAGTGTCGGAAGATAAATAGAAAGATTGTCAAAAATATCATTCGATTAATTGTTTATGTCAAATTATGTTTTATTTATCAGTCGGCGAAAACCCATGTGCGCCAAGAATACTAAATATTTGCAAACCGATAAATGTATTAATATGCGCAGAAGCCCTATTTTAGTCTACTGCAGCGACTACTTGCCAAGTACGCCACCTTCATTGCCCTCATATTATACGTCACCTTTCTCTATAGGACTCTAGCGAAGTTACTCCTCGTGTCTCTAGTCTTCTTGACTTTCCCCTACACCAGAGACTCTATTCAGTGCCACGTTCGGTTATAATTGAGGATCCCGATCAAATAAATCAACCGACACTCGGACGAACGCTCTAATGGTATTCGGGTAGCAGTGAGCCGCCCAAAGGCTATCACTGTTACTTGACTGGTAATAGAGCCTTCGTCCGAGTGTCGATCGAGTTATTTGATCGGGACTTTCAATGATAATATAATTTTTTTTAGTTTATCATTTTCAATAAGCACGCTCTATTTCAAACAATTAAATGACTTTTGCCAGGCATGTGCAATGGTGCAAACGCATTTCATGACTAAGGGTACCAGAGGGAAGCCAGATGATATTAATGGGGGATTTTAACGTCCATTTTCTCATTTTTGAACCTCTTCAAATGAATGAAAAGGAGAAAGTTCTTCTTCACTGAGAAAAAAAATTTAGTGTTTGCAACAAAATTGTTTGGATAGGCAATTTTTGTTCTTGTAACCAAATTTTGGTTGGCTGAAACAAATTCGTAGAGTTATCTCAACCAAACATTTGGTTAGGCCAACAAAATTATTTGGTTGAACATTTTTAAATTCCATCCATAATTTGGTTACGACAACAAAATAATTTGGTTAACACAACAAAATAGTTTGGTCTAAAAAACCAAATGATCTTTGGTTGCGACAACCAAATAATTTGCTTCGCTCTCAGCTCATAGCTTAAGAGAACAATTAGTTAAAATCTCTCACAAGGATGGGTAGTCCAGTGGTCAGAGCTCCCAACCTTCAGTTTTAAAACAGAGGTTCGATCCCAGGCGGAGATGAGATTTTTCAAAGTCCACAAATATTTCATTTGGATAAACATAAATTCAATGTTAAATTGATAATAAATAAATAATGAAATAAATAAAAAAGATAAAAAGAAAAGAGATAAGGTAGAATAAAATTTTTAATTAAAAAAAAAACTGTTTGTTTGATCAACCAAACATTTTTGTTGACCTAACAAAAAAAATTTGGTTGAGCTAACCAAACATTTTTGTTATGCCAAAAAAACACTCAACCAAATTTTTTGGTTGACGCAAACAAATACTTTGGTTGCTTAAATACCAACAAAATTTTGGTTGCTCTGACTAAACATTTTTCTCAGTGTTCAATTCCAGAAAATAAATTATCTGGTTGTCATCAACGACGGTAAACCAACTTTGAATCCAACACAAGATATTTTCCCCAGGGTGATAGATCTTCATTTTATGTCTTCTACATTTGCTCCAGTCTGTTCTTCTGAAAGATTGGAAGAATATTTCTCCTACTGCTGTAATAAATGTGAAAATATTGAAAATTGTTGCATTTAGACTTTTCAGATAAAGAATTGTAAAAGTTAAGGAAAAAAATCGTTTTTATATGAAAAATTTTATTTTTTGGGGTCAGACCATTATATTTCGACCAAAGTCGTTGCGGCCTAATTTTAAAAAAAAATTGATACTTGCAGTTTTAACCTGAAAATAATGTGCAATTTTTAATCGCCTATATCTCCTAAAATAGTTTCGGGACCAAAACGGAATTTATGGTGCGCGTAGATTTCGATCCGCTTTAGCTGCTGTGCAAGTGCCAATTTTTTTTATTTTTCTTTAACGGAGATATTCAGTTGCAAAGTTCGCAAAAATGCAGAAATTGCGAACTTTCAACTCAATATTTCTTTTATATTTAGTATGAAAATATAGAAAGTGCCAAGAAAATTTGAATGTCCTATCCATTTACTTCATATTAGGTAAGTTCAAATTTAATTTAATAATTCCACTTATTTGTAATTAACTGATAAAAATCGAAAAATTAGGTTATTTGACAGACTAACTTTAAAGACATATTTTATCCATTATTTTAATTTTTTCACTAATTTAATCATTAGAAAATAATAAATCAATTCATTCTAAACAAGAAACAATAATTCTTTTTACCTTTTTAACAATTATTATATGTTTTTTTATATATTTTATAATTGCTAAAAAAGTAACAGTTTTTCGGACCTTCTCCACTTTAAACTCATATTTTGAGAAAAATAAAGAAATTTTTGTAATAATTCTTTTTATTTCGTTCTCTGCATATCATAAAGAATCAGTACTGCAAGTATCAATTTTTTTTTAAATTAGGCCGCAACGACTTTGGTCGAAATATAATGGTCTGACCCTTTTGAAAAAATGAATGTGTTTGAAATTGACCGTTTTCTTTATGAGGAGTGAATGGTGGAAATAAATTTAATAGGCTCAATTACACAAAAATTTACATTATTTAACACAAGTCAAGAGAATGCTCAGAATGATAGAAAAATAAGGCACCAGGTTGATGGGATGTTCGACGGCTCTGTTAACCGAAGCAAATTCAATATTACGTGCTTTAAAATACATGGAAACAATTCACATAAATAAAGTAGTACTTTGCACAGACTCTTTGAGAACACTCGGTATATTAGAGAACCGGATGAGAAGTGTAACTGACTCATGCCCAAAAATCCATGAAATAATTGACCTGGTTATCAAATTAATTAATAGGGGCACAGAGATAAGATTCTTTTAGATTCCTTCCCACCCACAAATTCTGTCAAATATGTTGGTAGACCGATTGGCAAAATTGGATTTGTAAATTATCGACCCCGAAAACCCCCAAGTAGCAAGTTTTTGAAGCCTATGGAATGCCCTGATGTACTCTATTTAAATTTTTCTTTGAAAGTCTGACAGATTATTTTCCAAAAATTTTAAAATAATATGTAATTTTTTATATATTTCAGTTACCCAATCATTTGCTAGAAGAGTTAGCAATGGACGTTTATGATGAAGTCGATCGTAGAGAGACTGATTCAAGTAAGTAAACGTTTCTTTTAATTGAAAATTCAAAGTTCTTGTGGTCTTAAAGTACTATGTAATCATTATATTGTTATCACTAACCCAATTCCTAAAAATAATCATATGAACGATTTGACTACAATCTTGTCTCATTATTGCAAGAATTGTGAAAATTTTCCATGTTTCACTGTTTGCTACTGGAACTCATCGTTCTTAAACTTACGGCACTGACAGTTGCAGTAATGAACAACTTGCAGTAACGAGATACGACTGTATTATTTATACCTACATTAATTAAAAATTAGGTACCTGTAATTTATTTATTATTTACTTTCCTTTACTTATATAGCTCATTTCATTTAAATTATCATATTCAGCTTCCAGAAAAGTTGAGTTGGAAAATTTTGATTTTAAGGTTGAAACTAATTTTTTTATACAGTTTAACATGTTAAATTAACAAAATAAATAGTGGTCACAAAATTAAAGTCATTTATTTCTTATGGTAGAAGATTTTTTTGGCAGAAATCGTCATATCTTTTAAAAATTTTTATCTGTCAATTTTTGTTAAAATAATAATACTAAATATAATTTGATTTGACTGGTGATAAATATACTGAAGTTTTTGGGGTCGCTGAATCCGAATTTGAAGTCAGATTTAAAATATTCAAAATAGCCGATCCAAAATGGCGACCATGAAAATTTAGAAGTTGATTCGTTTCGCTTGAAACTTGTTACTTAGGGGTTTTCGGGGTCGGTAAATTCGATTTTGATGACAGATGAACCCAAAAATATTAAATACGATGAAATCAAATTTTTTTGAAAGCTCTGTTTGGAAAATTTATGTTCTTAAACATTATGAACATAAAACAAATAAACATCTATTCATTTCGCCGAAAGAATTAAGATAAAAATTTTTTGGGGGTTGGTTATAACCCCATTTTATGGAAAAAATTAGGGGGGAGGGTTGCGTGTACGGGTCATGTAGTACACGATTTATGCTATAATTTAAAACTTTTTTGAAGTTTTTACCACGTCAGGTCAAAGAGAAAAATCATATTAAACACACATAAAAACATGTTTCTTGGGGGTTTTTGCCCCCACTTTTTTCAAAATCCATGTATGCTAAGGAATTTTAATATCCGGGATCGTGTTCAGCGGCCAAAAATACATTAGAGACCATTCTGATATCAAGATAAAAGAAAAAAGTTTTATTTTGTAGGCCTCTGTGATTTATTACGTTTACTGAAGCCATATATACAAATTTGCATTACACTTATTACCATTACACTGTTGACATTTTTCTCGTTTTTCGCTTATAAAATGAAAACGGTTATACTTATATCGACGGGGTTGGTCTCATTCGAAAGAGAATCCAAAAATACATTAAATTCCATACCGATATAAAATTCAAAATATTTTCAAACCATTTTCAAGGCGTTACACTGTTGACAGAAATTCAATTACGAAAGTGTTTCGGCTTTTTCTGCCTCCATGACAAACGAGCAGATTTATACTTATATCGTTTTCGTTTTTTTCACACACTTCGTTGTTGTGTTCTGCTGCTTATGCGATGGTAAAGAAATTTTTTTGCTCATAAGGTAATTTAAATAGCAGGTAAAAGTAGGAAATTCTGACGGCAAAACGTAAAAATACAAAAGTGAGGGACACGTCATTTTCATTTTCTGGAAATTGGATAAAATAAAGTTTAATTACCAACACTTGATTTTCCTGAGATATAGAACTAATACTTCACGAAACATTTTTTTAATCTGGTTTAAACACTATATTTTCGATATTTCATTCATTTGAACATTGAAAATATCTCCGGGGACGCATTACACTTATGACATTTTGCCTGCTTTTTGTTCTGCCAATATTATGAAAATCACTTTTATGTCCTTGTAAGTAGAAAAATTATTAAAAATTATTGCTTTTTACTATATAAACAAATTAATTTCAACTAAGGTTATATCAAATAATTTTTTTGGCAAGGGACACGAATATGACAATTTAAATGAAATGAGCCATATATGAGTAAAAATTCCTCAAGTGTACCCGCCTAAAATTTTTTTCGTCCAAAAATTCTGCAACTCTACCAAATAGTAGTGTATGACATTTTACTACATTTATAACTGCTGTAAATTATTTTAGTGGTTTGGTTTCAAATGCATTTAACTAAACAATTTTTATTATTATTATATTAAAATGACATTTTCATTGTAACACTCTGTTACAAGAAGAAACTAAATATTTATTATTAATTATTATTAAAATTATATTTATATTTTTTTATGAGGCATTCTGTGAAAAAAGCCAACAACAAAAATTTTTTCAATGAAATATGTTAAAGTATACATAAAAACAAGTATATATGGAAGATTTTTAGGTCTGTGTAATAAGTGGTTGCCATGTTATCAGGGACTCAATTTTTTTGCTGCATAATCTTCAAATGGCAATAATATTTATGCGGATCAATGGATTTGAAAATTTCACCAACGTTTTTTGCAGATAATTTTCTAAACTTTCAAATGAAATATTTTTTTTCAAAAATGTTGTTTTGTCCAAAAAAGCAAAAAAATTTCTCTTCCTTCAATTTTTCTACACCTTTCCCCTCTTTAATTTTTTTCAAAATTACCATTATATATTCCCTTTTCCATAAGCTTTTCACACTCCAAATGTTATTTCAAGACAGCAAAATGCGTACGAGCTACAGATATCGTAGCTACTTTGTGAAAAACCGCACTTCATAAAAAAAAATATATAAAATGCTTTTTATGAAATGTCCGTGTCGTTAAATGCCGATAATGAATATCACATTTATAAAAAATAATTAAATAAATCAAACATATTTTACTTATTTTTATATGGCAGACTATTGTGACATTTGCTATTACATAGAAGTTTTCTTTTTTTACAGACACATATTTTTGTACTACATTAACCGTTATGTTTTCGTTGACATCAACCTTTTTTTATTACTAAAAGTTGATCCAGCTTCCATGATCTGTTCTGTTGATAAACTTTTTTTTTCGTATCTAAGATCTCGCATACAACATTTAAAGGATCAGTTGGTCCACGATCAACTTAGGGCACAGACAGCAAAACCCATTCTCCTATTTTAAATGTTGCAAGTTTTTCATTGACAGCAGAGAGCATTTTTTCTGCTGCAATTTGCATGTTCTTGCGAGAATTTGCTCTAGCCGTTAGAATATTTTCCTCTTGCTTACAAAAATTACAAAATTTTGCATTGGAATAGTTCGAAGATGAAATACAAGTCTCATGAAAATTATTTATTTTTAAAATTTATTATAATTTTTTAATTATAAAAAATTACATTCCTTTGATTTATATTTAAATGTTGGTTTTACAGATTAATTACGTTTTATTTACCATGCAAGGGTAGTTTTGAAAATATTTAAAGGAGGGAAAGGGGTGGAAACTACATTTTTGAAAAAATCAATAATCTCATTTGAAAGTTTAAGAAATTCTTTACAAAAAACGTTTATAAAATTTTTAAATTCATTGATCCGAATAAAAGTTACTGCTATTTGGAAATTATGCTGCAAAAAAATTGAGCCCTGGATAACATGGTAAGTACGCATTACACAGACCTAAAAACCTACCCTACTTGTTTTTATATGAGCCTCCGGAAAGTAAAACAACACATAAAATTTGTCTGTACTTTTGAGTTGAACTCTGGTAACCTAAAAATTGATATTAAAAAAAATAAATTTTATTTATTTCCAACCTAATTCCAATGACTTTGTAATAAATACAATTTATTTCTTGAAAATTGATTTTTTCTGTACTTGGGGAGCCAACTAAAAATTATTAAAAAATTTTATGTGTGGTTTTACTTTCCGGAGGCTCATATATAATACATTTCATTGGCAAAAAATTTTTTGTTTTGTTTTTTTTTACAGCGAAAGTAATGTAAAAATAGTATTTTTTCTTTCGCTTTCTTCATAAATGTTGATTATTTTTTATTAGAAATTTTATTTTTAGTTCCTTATCCTTGATAATAATTTCTTTGTACATGGTACTTCATTAGACTGACAGAACTGTCTATTCAGCTTAAAATGAATTCTTCAATTATATTCAAATTTTCCTTTTAATATTTTTCATAATAAAAATATCTTTCTTGCCAATAACAAAATCTAAATACATCTTCTTCGATAAATTCATTTCAAGAAACACAGGTGTCTGGAAAGAAAAAAAAGTTTGTCTACGATGCCTAAACAAATCATTGTTACCCACTGATTCGTTAACATCCCTTGAAATGAGAAAACTTAACTCGAAAATCTTAGCTGTTTATTTAGGAAAGAATCTTTCTATACTTTCATTTGTTTTATAATATTGTTACAAACTAGAAACTTTGCAGTAATAAATGTTTTTATTTTTTAATTACTTGACTAAAACAAGAAAATTAATATTTTACTAGCCTCATATCCTCTCTCGCTAACGCTCGCTCGGTGTAAATTTTAATTATTATTGTTTACTTATTTCAGTTCATTCATATGTATTTATTTTACTTCTTAAATTAATATTATATTAAATTTATTATTATTGTAGTAATATTCTTTTGTGTCAGGAAATAAAATAAGTAACACTGAGTGAATTTAAGATATAGATATAATTTATTAGTCGTAGCAATATACGTGTTATCAAATTAGCGGTAAGTTACAGACTCTTCCCCTTATCATATTTCGTGATGATCCCCCCCCTTTTATTAATCGACACTCATGCACAATAATCATTTTTATTTGGTACCTTTCAAAACTATACTACATTATCTTTAAATTTTATATTTTTAAGAAATCTTTAATACTTTGAAATTCAGCTAACGAATGCAACAATGATAGTCTTATGTGAACGTGAATTAGCGTTGTTTAATCTTTTTCCATATTATATTATTTTCGATAATGATTATTATTTAACTTATTTTCCTCTGCACTTTTCATTAATATTCAAATCAATATTTAACTCACAAACTATTATTTAACCCATAAAACAACTTC